CAAATGATTTCTCATCACTCTTAGTAACAAATGATTTCTCACCACTTTAGTAACAAATGATTTCTCATTACTATAGTAACAATTGTAGTAGTGGTGGGGCCAGTTGTAAATGACAGGTGTATGTGGCAGGCCCAGTAGAAACTGACAATACTGGTGTGTGTGTGGCAGGCCCAGTAGAAACTGACAATACTGGTGTGTGTGTGGTAGGCCCAGAAGTAACCAACATTACCTGTGTGTATGGCAGACCATTAGCAACTGACATAACTGGAATATGTCTCTCAGGCCTAGCAGTCACTGATATTTATGGTGTGTGTATGGCAGGCTCTAGAAACTGACATTACTGGTGCATGTGGCAGGCCCAGTAGAAACTGACAATACTGGTGTGTGTGTGTGTGTGTGTGTGTGGTAGGCCCAGTAGTAACTGACATTACTGGTGTGTGTGTGGCAGGCCCAGTAGTAACTGACATTACTTGTGTGTGTGTGGTAGGCCATGTAGAAACTGATAATACTGGTGTGTGTGTGTGGCAGGCCCAGTAGAAACTGACAATACTGGTGTGTGTGTGGTAGGCTCAGTAGTAACTGACACTACTGATATGTGTGTGGCGGGCCCACTAGTAACTGACAATACTGGTGTGTGTGTGGTAGGCCCAGTAGTAACTGACATAATTGGAATATGTCTCTCAGGCCTAGCAGTCACTGATATTTATGGTGTGTGTATGGCAGGCTCTAGAAACTGACATTACTGGTGCATGTGGCAGGCTCAGTAGAAACTGACAATACTGGTTTGTGTGTGTGTGTGTGTGGCAGGCCCAGTAGTAACTGACATTACTGGTGTGTGTGTGGCAGGCCCAGTAGTAACTGACATTACTTGTGTGTGTGTGGCAGGCCCAGTAGTAACTGACAATACTGGTGTGTGTGTGGCAGGCCATGTAGAAACTGACAATACTGGTGTGTGTGTGGTAGGCCCAGTAGTAACTGACATAACTGGAATATGTCTCTCAGGCCTAGCAGTCACTGATATTTATGGTGTGTGTATGGCAGGCTCTAGAAACTGACATTACTGGTGCATGTGGCAGGCTCAGTAGAAACTGACAATACTGGTTTGTGTGTGTGTGTGTATGGCAGGCTCTAGAAACTGACATTACTGGTGCATGTGGCAGGCTCAGTAGAAACTGACATTACTTGTGTGTGTGTGGCAGGCCCAGTAGTAACTGACATTACTTGTGTGTGTGTGGCAGGCCCAGTAGTAACTGACAATACTGGTGTGTGTGTGGCAGGCCATGTAGAAACTGACAATACTGGTGTGTGTGTGGTAGGCCCAGTAGTAACTGACATAACTGGAATATGTCTCTCAGGCCTAGCAGTCACTGATATTTATGGTGTGTGTATGGCAGGCTCTAGAAACTGACATTACTGGTGCATGTGGCAGGCTCAGTAGAAACTGACAATACTGGTGTGTGTGTGTGTGTGGCAGGCCCAGTAATAACTGACATTACTGGTGTGTGTGTGGCAGGCCCAGTATTAACTGACATTACTTGTGTGTGTGTGGCAGGCCCAGTAGTAACTGACAATACTGGTGTGTGTGTGGCAGGCCATGTAGAAACTGACAATACTGGTGTGTGTGTGGTAGGCTCAGTAGTAACTGACACTACTGATATGTGTGTGGTGGGCCCACTAGTAACTGACAATACTGGTATGTGTGTGGCAGGCCCAGTAGTAATTGACACTACTGATATGTGTGTGGCGGGCCCAGTAGTAACTGACATTAATTTTGTGTGTGTGTGACTGGCCCAGTAGTAAATGACATAACTGGTTGGTGTGTTGCTGACCCCGTAGTAACTGACATTATTGGTGTGTGTGTGTGGCAGGCCCAGTAGTAACTGACATTACTGGTTTGTGTGTGTGGCCGGCCCAGTAGTAACTGACACTGCTGATATGTGTGGGGCAGGTCCAGTTAAGGAACTGACATTATTGGTGTGTGTGTAGGGCTGGCCCAGTAGTAGGTGACATTACTGGTGTGTGTGTGTGGCTGGCCCAGTAGTAACTGACATTACTGGTGTGTGTGTGTGGCAGGCCCAGTAGTAACTGACAATACTGGTGTGTGTGTGTGTGTGGCTGACCCGGTAGTAACTGACATTATTGGTGTGTGTGTGTGGCAGGCCCAGTAGTAACTGACATTACTGGTGTGTGTGTGGCAGGCCCAGTAGTAACTGACATTACTGGTGTGTGTGTGGCAGGCCCAGTAGTAACTGACAATACTTGTGTGTGTGTGGCAGGCCCAGTAGTAACTGACATTACTGGTGTGTGTGTGTGTGTGTGTGTGTGTGTGTGTGTGTGTGTGTGTGTGTGAGGCTGACCCGGTAGTAACTGACATTATTGGTGTGTGTGAAGGGCTGGCCCAGTAGTAACTGACAATACTGGTGTGTGTGTGTGTGTGTGTGGCTGACCCGGTAGTAACTGACATTATTCGTGTGTGTGTAGGGCTGGCCCAGTAGTAACTGACATTACTGGTGTGTGTGTGTGTGTGTATGTGTGTGTGTGTGTGTGTGTGTGTGTGTGTGTGTGAGGCTGACCCGGTAGTAACTGACATTATTGGTGTGTGTGTAGGGCTGGCCCAGTAGTAGGTGACATTACTGGTGTGTGTGTGTGGCTGGCCCAGTAGTAACTGACATTACTGGTGTGTGTGTGTGGCAGGCCCAGTAGTAACTGACAATACTGGTGTGTGTGTGTGTGTGGCTGACCCGGTAGTAACTGACATTATTGGTGTGTGTGTAGGGCTGGCCCAGTAGTAACTGACAATACTGGTGAGTGTGTGTGTGTGTGTGTGTGTGTGTGTGTGTGTGTGTGTGTGTGGCTGACCCGGTAGTAACTGACATTACTGGTGAGTGTGTGTGGCAGGCCCGGTAGTAAGTGACATTACTGGTGTGTATGTGTGTGTGTGTGTGTGTGTGTGTGTGGCTGACCCGGTAGTAACCGACATTATTGGTGTGTGTGTGGCAGGCCCAGTAGTAACTGACATTACTGGTGAGTGTGTGTGACAGGCCCAGTAGTAACTGACAATACTGGTGAGTGTGTGTGTGTGTGTGTGTGACAGGCCCAGTAGTAACTGACATTACTGGTGAGTGTGTGACAGGCCCAGTAGTAACTGACATTACTGGTGAGTGTGTGTGACAGGCCCGGTAGTAAGTGACATTACTGGTGAGTGTGTGTGACAGGCCCAGTAGTAACTGACAATACTGGTGTGTGTGTGTGTGGCTGACCCGGTAGTAACTGACATTATTTGTGTGTGTGTAGGGCTGGCCCAGTAGTAACTGACATTACTGGTGAGTGTGTGTGGCAGGCCCAGTAGTAGACAAGGGAGTCTGTTTTGTTTTGTAAAGCCCTCTCTCTCTCTTCCCCCACCTCCTCAGAAAAACCCAGTACAATTACTGGTTGTATTAATGATAAGGGAGACCTGCTCCTCTGCTTGGAAGAATGAAAAACTATATGATGATAGCACACACTCCTACTTCTCTGATAGCAGTAACAAATATACATTGAAGCTTAGTGTTCTTGGTTCTATGATCTATTTATCTTACACGCATGTACATTGCTGGAATAAATAACATTCTATATGAATATTTACAAAACATATTTTTGTCTGTTGTGAATTAAGTTGTGATTTTGCCTTTTATGCCCTTTCCCTGTGCTGAACTGCATACAATTTCTCATTTTCAAAGATTTTTATTTTCCTTGCTCAAAGGATATTTCAGATTTTTTTATTGAAATCGATCATCATCTGTAGGGCAGGCAAGATATAATGTAATGATATATTATAAGTGTGGACCTATTCCTGTAAACAAAGGGCCAATAACATGCTGGGAATGTCTTTCTTCTTAAAAACTGAAATTAAGAAGGATCTGATATAAATTGTATAGTTTACATCAAAATCCTGGTTTACTTAGTATATAGAATCCAATAGAAAGACTACTATTGTACAGAGAGGCTTGTCCATTACTGATGACCATAACAAAAATATGTCATTGTTTAAACTGATTAGTACCTATTTAGACCAGTACACAATTATTGACCCATCCATATATGATTAAAAGTTTTCATTTTTATGAATTTTAGTATGAATCTCTAAAATTCCTCACCTTTTAAAGAAATAACAATATTATTGTGAATAGCAATGATTTAAGTGAAAGCTGATATATCTAAGTGGGCCATACAGGTCCAATAGGCCTCATGTTTCAAACATTATGGCAAAAATTGCTTGTGGATACTTTTTTCACATTTTAAACCTATTACGTCATTTTTTAAGTCCTGTCTCACATCTTAGTATTGTGGTTTGTCTATTTTATAATACAATAATGTATAGCTGAAAACTGACAAAATAAAACTACTAGCTTTAATAACAGAGACTCAGATCTGTCAAATGTTTGTATACACAATTAGCATAATTATAGTTGTAGTTGAAACATTTAGGTCAGTAATAGATATGATGATCACAATGATAAAATGATCAACGAGATATTGATCACTCTGACGCAGAAACTGTCTTCCTATTTTCTTCCCCAGCAATTTTGCCCACTAAAACCAAAGAAAAAACCACTTTGCATATACCTTTAGTAGATAAATTAATTCTGTGGTTTGTGTGTGTTTAATGTATTCTATAGAAATTGTCAGTGAAGTTTCAACATGGTTATCAAGCTGGAAATCCAATCGTAAATATGTGTTAAGTGCTCATCTTAGTATAAATCGAAGTTGAAACATCTGCAGGAAATCTCTGTTATCAGATATTGTTCTTGAATTGGAGTTTTCAATTAATAATCATCAGATATGTGTGATTTTTCCAATATATTTGGTGATACAGGAAGTTAGGTCAGACAGATGAAGAAATGCTTGACATTGTTGCTGCTTGTAGTCTTGATGTAACTGAGGAGAAAAATAACTCTGATGCTTTCTAAATACAGACCAACATAACAGTTTCTGTGAAGAAAAAAAATCTACAACTGTACCTTGTAATAAACGTCTCCAGTCTTTCTACATGGAATCAAAACGGGAAGGAAATCATCTTCATGTGGAGGAACAATGTTGTGGGTACCACCTGAAGCTGAAGAGGAAGGAATAATAGACTATAGGGGCGAGATTTCATACCTTATAGAATGTATGGAAAGTTAGAGAAATTTGTGGCATGCTGTTAGTTGGGGGGGTTAGCGAAGCTATGCACATGCCTAATGTGAAATATGGTACAATGATTAGTGAAGTACACCATTAGGTTATTACCACAGTGTAACTTCTACTTGTAAGCTTGTAAATGTTTCATACTGTAAATGATAGATTGGTTTTGAAAGCTTTTTTTTTATTCTTTTATCTTGAAGAAGATTTTATTGGATAAGTAATTTTTAGGACATATGATTTACTGATTTTCATGCATTTCATTTTTTTTTGTAGAATGTTATTATATAATAGTCCTGTTGATGTATTGTTAAAATAACTAATTGGAAATGTTAAAGTACCATGTTTGATATAAGCATAAAAAATTTAATCTAGAGTTAGAGGTTTAAAATGAAGATATGATAAAAAAATTGTGATGAGGAATTGCCCCATATTGTGATCGGAAATGTGACTTTCAGGAATGAACTGCCATATATTCTATAATTCTGTATGTGAAGATAATTTCGATTCAACATCTGGATGTAAATTTTGTGTTGGGATGAAGTACAGAAAACATCACTGTGGAATTTTCATCGTTTTCCAGTGTCCCTTTTGGAAAATTTAGATTCCAAACAAGGTTGATGTGCAAGAAATTATAGACAACTTTTGAATATTTTTGGATATTTCGTTATGGAGTCAAATCAGCGTGGGATTATGAGTGACCAACAATGGTTACAACACTTGTACAACCAGGCCACATCTGTCGACCTAAATGTCGATGAAATAGATGACACCGAAGAGTAGGTATCAGTCCGTAACAATTAACTTGTATGATTTTGAATGTTAATTTTTTGTTTTAATAAAATGATAGAGGTGCTTACATTTTAAGGGGTTTGAAAATTCTTCAGGTTTTAAAAATCAAGTCAAGATGTTAAACAGACAATGCATGGCAAGATCAGAAAATACGCCAAAAGTGACACAATATACATAGCTTTCTGTTATTCTAAATTCAGTGTCGTCTATACTTTTGTCACTGTTAAGAAATAAGTATGTTTCATTTAAAATCTTGTCACTTTCATTTGACATATTAAAGTGATATTGTAGTGATTTTTTGATAAATTACATTTAAAATTATAAGCAAATGTGACAGGCAAGGACAAATTTTTGTATCATTGTTTTGTCACAGAGTCTTTCACATACTATTAGATAAATGACACTTAAAAATCATGATTTTTACCTGTACTGGTAGATTTGTCCTTTGAAGTACTATGATTTGTCTTGTACATCGTAATTGTAATATCTTTTATAGATTTTGGTTCTAGCTGTTTAAAAATAAGTATCTTATGAAATCTTCAAATACCAGGTATTTAAGGTTTTTAGGTTAAAGAGAGAAAATACATGTCAAAACTCTAGTCAGTAAAATGATGCCAGTCTTTGTTAATGAAAAGAAGTTGTGCTACAGGAAAGATGTATTTTACCTCTTCTGGGGATAGAACCTGTGATCTGGACTTAATTACTGGTCCTTTGTTCTATCAATTCAGCTAAAGAGAAATTTCCTCTTTGCTGATATAGAAAGTGACTGTATCGGTATGTACTATCAAAACCACTCAGCGTTGTAATTGACTAAGGTGATTGGCTAAAGTTCCTTCTATGTTTTTTAAGCTGAATCTTCCATTAGAAAGAAAAATGTTATTCTGTAGTAATTAATTGTTGTTAATTATGTGGACTTGAGTAAGTCTAGTGTCAAAACCCTGTGCCTACATAGATATATTCATTACTGATGCAGATCATTGTGACTGGCTCACATTCCACTATAATGTAGAGTTATAGGTTCACTGAGGAGTCAAGGACAAGTAAAATCTTATATATGTTACTTTTCACAAGTTAGATGGGGACTCTGAACCTGGGCTAATGAGGAGTTTGGAAATGGAAAGACACATAATGTAGACACTGTTGACTACAGAAAACCTGATAAAGGCAGATTTTGGCACACATGTAATTTGTTATCATCATTTCTACATATGGTGTATTTGAAAATGACCCTTGTTGAAGATCATCAATTCAGGAGTTAAAACTTTCAATGTAAATAGTTTAAGGGGCATATTGAGAATTCTGTGGAATCTCAAGGAAGAAAGATCAGAATCCTTCTATCTTAGACACCTTTGTAGTATTATTCCTCATTTTATTTTATATTGATGAAAGTTCTGAAGTAATTGGTCTTGGATTGTCAATATTTAATGTTCTCACAGTTATAGGGATCAATCTCTGTGGTAATGAAATAAACAGGAAAACATGCAACATACAAAACTGAAACCAAGGTGTGAGACTGAAGTGAAGAAGTATCATACTTTTAATGTAAAAGAAAAAGATTGTTTTCATGTTTGATGTCATAAGATGTACTGAGAGGGGTGTGACCATGAATCTCAAAGACCAGATTACATGGTTTAGTTGTTGTTGAAGGAATGCTGTTTTACGTCCTCTGTCTTTTAGTAAGGATATCTTTAAACAATGCTAAGACTGTGTAACAGAATCCAAAACAATCATTTGAATATCTGAAACATTTACTGGATAACTAGGAAATTGTGAGTATTTGCAACACATTCGAAACTAAATCTAAGATGATTTGAGTTAAAGTTGCATACAACTGTGTGTTTCGATCGGGGCCAACAAGAGAGTGATTAATATAAGCTTTAAGCTTGTTTCACAATGGTTGAAAATACAAAATATATATATATATATATATATATATATATATATATATATATATATACTACCAGTTATACATTTACTTTTTGTAGGAATTATTTCCCTTTGTGTAATTTTATCTGATAACTATTCCCCTTACTTCAGAATTTCAAGTTTATATATTGATCGTTATTATTTTGTTCATACATCACACTATCTGTATATGTGCATCCACACGTACCAAGCATTAATGCACAAGATATTTCATGAAATCTATTTAAATTTCTTACACAGTATTGGAACATCAAGTTCTACACTTGAATAGGTTTTAAAGGTCATTGGCTAAGATTTAAGGATCAGCATTCACACTATAGTCTTGGCTTAGATTTAAGGATCAGCATTCACACTATAGTCTTGGAATATAAAATTCTAAATAGTCACAATTTAGAGGTCATTACTCGTTGAGCATAATGGATCAAAGGTCAAACCTAAACAGTTTGAAAATAAAAAGCATGTGTTCAAGACATCTAATGAAGTCTATAACATACTTGTTCATATTCACACATACAGCTTTGGAATATCAATTTGTAAAATTGATTGGATTTGGTGCTATTTGGTCAATGTTAAAGGGTCAAAGGTCATCATTTATCAATTTGGAAATGAAAAGCATGTGTAAAGATATTTCATGAACGCTTCAATAGTAAATATTTGTAAGGTCATGGTCAATGGGTAAATGTCACTCCAGATATCATGACTGCTATATATCCTGATGTGGGATTGGGTTTGGGTTATAACTAACATGAGCCCAGCTAACTCATGCTGGTTATAACTAACATGAGCCCAGCTAACTCATGCTGACTGCTTATACAAGAAACAAATCTTCAGTGCCATATCAATGTATTCATATATTCAACAAGTGTTTTTTGCTTTACATTTTTTCATTCTTGATAATAATGAAAATGCTTCGATAATCAGGTTAAATCTTCATTGAAAACAGAAAATGCTAAGGTGTAGTAGTCATAGAGTCAGTTTTTATCAGATATTAGATATGAATGTCATCCTTGGAAAGAGATTTGAGGATAAAGAGGAGTGCAGTAAGGAGTAGTATGGTAATTTTGGAAAATGTTGAAGATGGAATTGAACTTAGATCGTTTTACAAATCCAATTTTTTTCTCTTGACAGTTTAAGGGTGTGCAATAACTTAACTGATTTTTACTGTAAATATACCTTAACATTATATGCATGGAAAGTAAATATTACGTAAATGTAAACCTGGTGAGTTCTTTGAAATAGAAGTAGAGGATGATGACCAGTCTTGACCATAACTGCCATACAGTAAATAGTGCAGATTCCAGGCAGCTGTAGTTGGCCCGTTGTCTGTCATCTTCTATATTATCTAACACCTCATCATCTTGTTAGCCTGGACTGTGATTCTCTCTGGTCTCTTCTCATTGTCAGGGATCTGTACCATCAGACAGACTCTGACGTAATGGCTGTCAAACAGTGATAGACATATGTGCGTCATGCTGTCACTGCAAGGCTGGTACCTGAGTTGCATGCTTTCTCACAGTTAGTACAAAATCTAAATTGTCAAGTTGCCATATCTTTTTCCAGATGTTTCTCTGAGAAAAGTGAAAATATTTCCTGTTTGTATCCTCATTTCCTTGCTGTTTACTAGTTTTGGGTCACAGCCAATAAACAATTTTTATTTATCTTGTTATCTGTTGAAAATGTGTCGAGTGAAATGTTTCTTTGTTGCACAAGTTTTCAATTAGGAGATTTTATTTATCCGACTTGGTTTTAACTATATTTGTCTAGGTGTGGGCTCAAAGCACCTGGGCAGTGCGACTTGCTAAATACATGGTGCTGAAATAAAGTATTTAGTTTAAATAAATGACTGTTACATCTGAAGGTTCTACTCCAAACTTGCCAGAGTATATCTCTAAACTATTTTATGCTATTTCTGTTTGGTGGAAATAATTTCCTTCCCTCTGCCCCCTCCCTCCCCCACCAACCACTACTTGACAAGGGTACAATGAGGATAATTATCAAATTTATGAAATGTGAATTATCTGAAAGGCAGAAGTATTCGAGCTCAATCATTTCCATTTCTTGTTAGTCCTATTGATCAAAATTAGTGTGAAATAATTTGGAAGATTTGAAGATAATTTGATATAAAAAAAATAATTACCTTGGCAGTTGATTTGCTGAGACTTCATTTTCTGGTAACCACCAAACTATGTTACAGAGGTCTGAAATGAAGTTTTATTGTGAAATATCATTGGAATTTCAACGCTTGTTAAAACTGAACTTTAGAGGTTTTCCTTATTTTCTTTGTCGATGTTAGACAGTATACTGCCTCCTCTTTTTTGAATTGATTTTCTCTCCAGTGTAGTTCTCAGCATCATATATGCTCAATAATGATATATCCTACCTTGTAATGGTGCCAGTTCGCTGACAGAATGAGACTTCAAATCAAATTCCAAACTTCTTGGAGATACTTGATCTTTATAAATCTCTATGTACTTTTTCAACAGTCTCAAAGTTCATATTTTGCACTTGCTTCATCAAGTTTTATATTGAATGGAGATGAATGTTGTCTGGTTCTTGCAAATATCGCCAGGATTTTGAAAATCCATAAAGAAATGTTTGAGTTTATAATTTACAATGTTTTTCAGGGTTGCTGATAATGATCTGTTTTTGCTAATAACAATAACACCAAAAAGCAATAGATTTAATATTTTGTATGTCATTCATGATGCTATGAGAGACTTGTCATTCACTGCTATTAAATTACTTAAATTCTTTTGAATTGCTGTTAAAAGAGTTCAATAAGAAAAAAATCAAAAGTTTGGTTTAACATGTTTTAAAAAGTTTTTTCTCTGCTAGTACAAGTATTTAGTTTGGGAATCTGTCCTTTCATATCAATTATGTGATTTTATTTTATCGTCAATATTTTATAACGTCTTGTCTTAATAGAACTGATAAGAGTACAGGGATCCTGATTTTCCTTCCTGTCTGGAGGTTTCTGAAATAGATGATAAAAGAAATAATAAAACAATAATAGAATTCCAGTATTTTGACTGTGTGTCGATGAATTTAGATATTAACTCAATTTTACAAAATTTTGGTGATGGTTTAGAATTGAGGTGAAAAATGGGACTCTTGCATACAAAATTTGAAAAATAGGAGCTGTGTATTATTTTATAATTAATCTCATTTAAGGTGTAAAAATATCAGTCAGTTTTGACATTATTTGACACATAACCAGTGTCATGTGATCATATTTGTATAATGCCTGCATGTTACATGGCAGTGGTCTATTAAAAAAACATGGGGTTACTTCCCTTTATCCAGAATTTGTTGGTCATGTGTTTTAAATGATGCCACTTGAGGGGATGTGAAGTGGCCTTGAAGAGAATTTATACTCCAAAGATACACACACTGAACATAACAATATGTGTATAGGTTTTTCTCTACATTTGTATGAGGTATCAGGTTCCACAGAGTATTAGAAGCCTTTCTCGTATGAGTTCTTAATGGTTTGTCCAGGTTTTTTGAAGCATAGCCAAGTCAAAGGCAGGAATTTGCTGTAAAAGCATGCAAAATATGAAGATTCTGGCACATGTGATATATCTATCTTACATAAAGTATATTTATGCAAATTGTATACTTGCACATGTTGATAATTTACATAAATTTTGTTATCATTTGTTTTCTTTTCCATTTTTTTCTTTTGCATAAAACCTCAGCATAAATGAATAATAATATTTGCAGTGCTTGTTGATCATGAACATTGATATTCACTACACTCAAAAGGCCTGTGGTATCAGTTTACTTGATATTCCTACCTGTATTTCCAGTATAAGGTGATGGTTATGTAACTGTTTTATTTGATATGATTTTTTTTATTTATTTTCTTTTACAAGCTGATAACACTTTATCACTCATGCATTGAAATGATATATAACCAAGACATTCATGCATTGTTAGCTTAATATAAATTGCTACATCTTACAGTATATGCTATATCACATACACTTAGGTTTAAAATCTTTTTGATTATTGTTAGTCTTGTTAATGTATTTATCTCAATTTTGATTGGCACTATCTCTTTATTTTGCTTGGCAGTAGTAAGGAAATCTTTCCCCATTTCCAACATGAGACAATCAGAGTCACAGCATCTGACATAAGTAATATCTTTATATATTACACCTTTCATATCTTTTCTCATTATGTTCACTTTTTTCATCCCAGGGCTAAATGTGAATTGTTTTTTCAGTTCATCATAAAAAGTCTTGTCAAGAAAGAATACATTTCACATCAGACAGATATCATTAAGCTATGAAAGGATACTTCTGATTATAAGTAATAGTGTGGTGTGATTCTGGTTCATGTGGATTAAAGGGGAGACAACTCAATGACAACCCCCTGTCCCCTTTAGTAAAATGGGGAATGGTGAGGAGTATTGAACATCTATGTATATTTATTTGCCTGTGGTTCAGCACTTAGGTAAGTGATCTGCTGATGTCTCGATAGTAGGTAGCTTGTGTTTATTAGTACATGGTATCCTTTAATCCCTAAGAGATTTAGTTCATATCTGCACTGTAACATCACATCTTCAAGTTCTACTACTGATTTTGGTAATTATGGATCATGGTTAAAGCAGTGAAAGGAAGTGATTGGATGATGATAGCTTATCATCAATTATCTAATCATTTAACCCATATGTGATTAACAGTTGTAATCATTGACTCCAATAGATAAACTTCCCAATAGATTTTGTTCATGTTTATACTGTAAAAGGTACCACGCCATCAAGTTCATTGTCGTGGTTATTGATCAAGATTAAAGGTCAAAAGTCACAATTGACCCTATTGTTTTTTAGCATTGGCAGTTGATTAAATAGAAAAAAATAAGGGAATCCGGTTTTCTGACACCCAAGCACCTCTATGTTATGTTATGTTTCTATCTCTCATTTTTTATTTTTATTGTTTTATTTTCCACAAAATGTTAACTTGACAAAACGAAGTACACCATGTGAACTTTTCACAAAAATGTGACTATAGAGATAAAAACTAACAGCTTATATAATGGTGAGACAAAAATTGTCTTGAATTGCTGTAAGAGCATTCACTGCTGTATGAATGACAAATCATCAGGGACATTGTCACACAGATGCAGGTGGGCTTGTTTGCATCTCTGTATGCTGTAGAGAGACATATACCAGTATACAGGATGGTGTCGTGTAGCCAATGATGAATGTGCTTAAGGGATCAAGAAGTGCACTTTCTTCCCAGCAGGTTTAAAGTGTGATTACTCCTAAACGCACACACAGCATGCATGTTCTCGCACATGACAGCTCACAAATATCACAAGTATATATCAATTAGTAGCTTCCAAGTCTCTGTATCACCTCCAATATGTCTGTGTCCGCAGATTTGCTTGTTTGATATAGACGACTGATTGGTACATGTTTGCAATGAAGGATCACTGGGCCGAGTATTGAAAATGAAAGGTGTGTTTTATACTATTAAGGTTTAAATCAATCCAGCCATGGACTCTTTCCATCAGGTCCACACGAAGCTCAGGGTGGTATGATGACGGAGGTAATGTGTCGTTGTAATGGCTGAGGCAACACGCTTCAACTTCCATGGGAGACCTAACAGTACGGTTGTAGCCAAATGCCAAAGTGTCTGTGGAATTTTGGACAGCAAATCGTACACACAATTCGTGACATGTAGCTGCTACCTGGTCCACAAACCTGGAGAATCCATCAGTGCTAGCGTTGTATAGAGCCCAACAACTGGTTACAACAGAACAAACCACGCTTTCCTTACTGTCAGTAAGTCTTGGGATCCAGAGAGTGTGTTCTGTGATATAAATCACAATTTGGAACAAATGAAGGAAGGAGTAAGATCCTATACTGTGGAGATATACAACTGTGTCTCGGCAGGAGAGAGAGAAGAGGGGAAATATACCCAGCAGGAGTGTTAACAGTGAGGTCCTCCAAGGTACAACTGTCATGGCGTGACATGGGATTATATGTGGCCTTGATAACCACTGTGATTATATGGAGACTTCCTCACAGCCAAATCCATGTTTTCTTAATGGCTGCTGCAGCTGTCTATAAGAAGTTTAAAAAACTTGGTGTTCATATACCACGCCGGCGAAAGAAACTCCCGGGAAGCCTCGGGGGGTGTCACAGGTAATCTGTTATCACAGCCAATGATAACAATGCATGCATGTTGAGTCGTGTGCACCTACAGTTAATAGGTCTGCAGGCATTCTTTCATTCATTACCAGCATCCTTAGTTTACCTGCCAGCATGTGTGTTGGGAGGGGAATTTGGGGCCAAGGAATAATGAATTAAGGTACCCTGATGCTATATAGATAGGTAGGCATATATTGTTATTTGTAGACATGGAAGTGAAACAATAGTGATTTATAAAGGACTGTTACACAGTTCTACAGGCAAAGACGTGTTTTGTTTACAAGTGATGCTGGTACAGCTGTCAATATACACACCTATTATACACCTACACCTGCGCACATCTGCTCACGACTATATCAATTCATTGTTCTTTAATAGAAGTCAGGATACTGTTATATAAATATCACAGAATACCACATGTATGATATTTTAAAAGTATTCATTAAAAGTTGTAATATTAAGGTTAACAAATCTAACAGGATACCTGAGGAAGTGAAAGATCCTGGCATACCAGGAAGGACACAACCTTGGTGTACCAAGTAGAAAATGACCTTGACATACCAGGCAGGACACAACCTTGGTATACCAAGTAGAAAATGACCTTGACATACCAGGAAGGACACAACCTTGGTATACCAAGTAGAAAATGACCTTGACAGACCAGGCAGGACACAACCTTGGTGTATCAAGTAGAAAATGACCTTGACATACCAGGCAGGACACAACCTTGGTATACCAAGTAGAAAATGACCTTGACATACCAGGCAGGACACAACCTTGGTGTACCAAGTAGAAAATGACCTTGACATACCAGGAAGGACACAACCTTGGTGTACCAAGTAGAAAATGACCTTGGTATGCCAGGCAGGACACAACCTTGATGTACCAAGATGAAAATGACCTTGACATACCAGAAAGGACACAACCTTGTTGTACCAAGTAGAAAATGACCTTGAGATACCAGGCAGGACACAACCTTGTGGTACCAAATAGAAAATGACCTTGACATACCAGGCAGGACACATCCTTGATGTACCAAGTAGAAAATGACCTTGGTATACCA